GTTATTTTCCTTTCACTTGCTTGTACTTAATATGAGCAACTACCTTCTTCGAGTTGTAGTCTGCCTTTTTCCAATAGGCATAAACTGCAGTGGAAATGAACTATTAAACACCTTTTAAATGTTTATAAATCTCTGAGCGATTTTTTTGTTTTATGTTTTAAAAATATCTGTCAATTGTTATAGTCGGAACACATTGAAAAGGACAACCACAGCTGTAAATTGTTCATCTTCGTTATCTAAATGCTCTGTAGATGGTGATATGAATTTTTATGAGTTTGTTATAAAACAAGAGGAAGAACTCATCTTTCGCTCGAAAAATATAAATAGATCTAAGCTGGTCACAATCCCACACGTGATGTAGTTCAGTCGTCGCCAAAATAATTATCGACATACGTCGAAAAATAATTTCCAATTTGTTTAGAATATTATGCTCATAACAATTTGGTAATTTTTTTCTGAGTTTGGTAATTTTTTTTTAGAGGTTTGGTAAAAAATTAAAAACTTTGTGGCAACACTGGTTAAGAAACGCTTTCCAGCAGAAAATAGTGATAATTTTTGATAATTATCTGTTAAGAATTAAAGCTAATGTCCGGGCAGGAAGAAGAAGACACGATCCAATACGTTTCAATTCTCTCTCTATTACCCATTTTGTTGAGTACGGGAATGATTTCTGGGCTGTTTTGGGCACCCGCGGGATCCCGCGTTGTGTACGGGAAAGAACCTAATGTTTTCTATGGATTGTTGTGAGATCAATTTTGAGTAAATAAGCGTCCTTAAATTTCGAAACATCGAAGTTTCAGCATTTCTGAAATTCACCGTTGTATAAACAGTAGGCGTAATTTTAGTCCGATTTCAAAACCTGCTTCAGTACCCCCCCCGCTTAAGTAACCAACATTTTTGGGCAATGTGAATTTTTGAATGTAATCTGAAGAAAATCCCTCTCTTAAGTACCTCCCCGCTTATTTACCCAGCCCGCCTAAGTACCTAAATTTTTTGTACCCCATTTACCATTTTACCTATAATTTTCCCCTTTTAAGTGCTCTTTTCAAATTCCTTAAAATAATCACATATTTTGAAATTCAGTGGCAGCGTCACACACCTTCGGGAAAAATATTATAAAAAATCAACGGTAATTTTTAGCTACTTGAAACTTGCACATTATTACACTAAAATTGAATGGGCTATAAAACTGTATACATTCTGAGAAAAAAATTTTAAATTTTGGTTAATATTTTTTTTAATGTTCTATAATATCCTAAGCTTCGGTTTATATGGTATTTGTTAGGGAATGAACTGTATTTTAATTGAAAAATCTTAAATAATGCTATGGTCTTGGTTTTAAACTACGTATACTTTATTAAATGTCCATGTTTTATTTAAGGACTTACAAATTTATGTAAGTTAACAAAAAGATGTAACTACATCAGTAATTAAGCTCGCTTAAGTACCCGCATCGAGGTCCATGTTTTATTCAAGGACAGTGTTGCCACGGACAATTTTTTTTCCTACCAAAACTTCCTACCAAACTCAACCAAAACCTACCAAAATTTTATTTAGGTTTTTTATATTTTTTTATGTCAAGTTTATTAAAAATGTAGATAACACAACATTAAGAAAAACTAAAACACAGATAGTACAATAAAAACAAATTAACAACGTATAACAATTCATTTTACTGTACAGACTTACACAAATGTTTGTCTCTTTACACATCTATCTATTGTGCTTAACCCTAATTGTAATCACTCCATGTTTAAAATTTTGGATGAAGAAGACAATCGTTCCCCAATGTGTATCAGTCTGCTATTTATGATACGTGCGCAGTCACATAGTATATGCTGTGCTTCTTCCACTAGCTCACAAAAGGCTAGGGACCATGCAAGTGCATTTGGGCTCCACGCTTTGCGAGACAGTTAGCTTTCGTTGCCTTCAAACCCTTCATGTCCCGGAACCCACCACAGCGTTACGTTATTGTGAGCTTCCAAGTGGTCCGCAAACCTGTTGCCTTTTTGAACGAGTCTAAGGCCTTTAACTTGCCTGACTATCCGACATAATATTTAATTTGACCCCATATGTCCTTCTGCACAGACTTCGATTGCGAAGACCAGATTTTCTGGAATTTTGGTCAAAATACGCCGGCACCATTACTCTCGTCATCCATTTTTGATCCGTCGGTATACCATGCTTGGACCTTTCGTCAATCATAGTTACTATCACTTCACAGCAGTCCCTTTCAGGAATTCTGACCTTGTAGGGTTTGTAGAAGGATAACTCGATATTAGCCAAGAATGGCTTTAGAAAGACCAATAGGTTAGTTTTGGTGGTATTCTTCAAGGCTTGCAATGAAGTCTCTGTCAGGTGGACAATGGTGGACTATTCGCGTAAACGAGGTTGCTAAAATGTCTGGAGATACATAAATATTTTATATTTTTCGCAAATAACTATTATTGTCGCGGAACCTACCAAAATCCAATCTAGCCTACCAACCTACCAAATAGAAAAAACCTACCAGTTTTGGTAGGAAAAGCCCATGTTTGGCAACACTGTTCAAGCATTTAGGTCGGTGTTATGCAGAAATTTTGTTTGGCAAACTGCGTGCAATTGTTGTTGCAGCAAACTCGGAGAGAGCGAGTTTGGCGACTCTCACAGCAAACTAATTTTGTTTGGTCAAACTGCAGCAAATTCGGTGTTGTCATATACAAAAATTTTAGATAATTGTTGATATACACAAAAATTGCCGTGATACCGAAAGCTTGAGAACAGAATTAATGCTGTAGGAGCTTCAAAGATAAGGGCACAGTTAATTGCCTATACGATATCATAAAAATATATTAATTGTGCGCGTTATGTACATCTGAAATTTTTATTTCGTGTTGGCAATAGCCATGAAAACCATAATGAACGCGCAACCCTGTGCCAAACTCGACATAACCACCACCGAGCAAACTAATACTAGGTTCACATATAAGTAGATTATCCTCATTTTCGAGCTTAACACCCTAATCTGTAATTATAACAAGAGATTAGCCATATAAAATTCGTCCCTTGTTAATCTGTAATTATAAAATAATCTCAGATTTAACCGATAACTTTTCGGTGTCCATGCTAGTTTTATCGATTGTTTTTGCGAAAGAGAGGAGAAATGCCAAAATGTAAAAGCAAACAAAAATGTACGCTAGCAAGTAAAAGAGGTTTGTAAAGGTATTTTTAATAAAATGTTAAGTTAAAATATATTTATATTGCTTATTATAGCAGAAAAACGTGATCACGGTGGCACAGAGAAGGAAAAATAAATTTTCCTTGAGATGTGAGAATAGCAAGCACAACAAATTTGACGGCTAATAATCTGAGATTTGCCTGTGTAAACGGGGTGATTAAAAAACGAGCTTTGATTGAGATAATATTGATATGTGAACATAGTTTAAGCAGCCGCCATTTAATTTGGCAAACAAAAGTTTGTCTTCATAACACCGACCTTACAAATTTATGTAAGTTAACAAAATGATGTAACCACATCAATAATTATGCTCGCTTAAGTACCCGCATCGAGGTACTTAAGCGGGTTCTTTTAAGTACCCAACCCGCTTAAGTACCTCAAAAAGCCGAAATTTTTCGTGAGGTACTTAAGCGGGTTTTACTGTATTTTGGTACAAATTGTTGGAACGGTTACCGAGACACACATATGTATGTGGTCATAAGTGGGCGGTGTCACGCCCATTTTTCAAAAAATTATTAAAAGAGTATTTCTTGCTAAAAATTGATTGCAAACTTCAATTTTGAATAAATCTGCTTCAGTATTTTCCATGATAAAAACATTAGAAGGTAAAACCATTCTCTCAATTCGTCGGCCATGATTTTTTTCTGACGTTTGCAAACATTTTAAAATCATATAAAACTGAAAATAAAAAAATGAAATTGTTCACAATTGTTGTTGTTTGAGATTAAAAATGAGAATGTGTGTGTGAGCCTGAGCTCGAATTTTAAAATTATATTGTTGGCAAACGTCAGACTGCCTCTCAATGATTTTACCTTGTAATGTTTTTATCATGGTATTTACTGATTTATCAAAGATTTAGTATATCATATATTTTACTTTTTAATAATTTGAACGATATTAACATTTTGCAATGCAGTTTGCTTTTACAGAATATGGTGGAAATAACAAAACCAATATCTTGAAATTTTAGTTCCCGTGGACAACGCCCTTTTGGCGATACAAAAGCTAACACTGATTGCAAATTTTTTCCTTTATCAATTGAAGCACCTCTTTTAACCCTCTATAACTCGAAACCTTCAAATTAAATATTTTTACCGGAATCGGTAAGATTTATGAATAAAACACAAACATATTATTATTTAATTTCGAAACTTTTTATTTATTATGCATATTATTACAATAAAAGGGAGTGTAGCTTACAGGCAACAATGAGTAACAGTGATACAAAAAACAAGCAAAATTAAGAGTAAAATGAAAATTGCTTAGGACAGGTGGAAGATCCTGAAACAATTTTTGTTTTTGGTATAGCATCAAGCTACGCCACACTTCTCACACACTGTGTGAGTGAACCCAACTCACTTGGGGAACTTACATCGGATTTTTTTTCCGCCCATTGAGGCCAGTGACCGACTTGATCCTGACGGATTGCTTGTGGAGGCACATGTTGGGCAGGTCCCTTATGTTTCTTCGCTAGAAGCTGATCTTCTATAGACCGGCGTGTTGTCAAACTTGTTTTTGTCCCCATCTTACATAGAGTTTCGGCAATTTCCAGGCGAAGATCTGCGGACGCAAGGATGGTCTTATCAGGAAGATTTTTATATTTGCAGACCCTCTTATAGAGTAGTCATGAGTTAGCCATAGTAAGGTCTAAGTAGTGATAGAACAGGCGCATCTGCCAACGTTTGTCCGCAGTCGTATCTTGTAGATGTCCATAATGCTGTCGACAAGGTCTACACCGCCCATATGTCGGTTATACTCGCCAACTACATGAGGTCGTAGAATGTTAATATACTTCGAGTTCTTTTTGTCGTATCTTCACTTCAGATATAGGATTTTGGCCAGCAAATGTGGAAGTCAATGTAACCAGTTTATTGTCTTTCCATACAACCGCTGACACTTCGACATCGTTAATATTAGATACGTATTCTTCTGAATATCCACGATCTTTCTTCATTATCGCTTTCTCTGTCGACAGCTTGCAATCAGGAATCCTACTTCTTCTAATAGTGCCTAGCCCAAGAATACCTTCGTTTGCTAAATATTCCAAAAGAGGCAAAGATGTAAAGTAGTAATCGAAATAGATCCTGTAGTTTTGGTGTCGCAGAATCATACGCGATAATCTCACTACGACGTTGGAAGAGGCTCCTAAGTCTGGCTCGTCGGCTTTGACAACATTCTCTTTACCAGTCTCAACCTCTGTCGTATAAGCGAAACCGAAAACACCGCTCAAAACAAATAATTTGTATCCCCACTTATGAGGTTTCTTGGGGTTATATCTTTTGAGCATATTTCGCGCCTTTGTAGAGCACATTTGCTCATCTACACAAACTCTTGTTTCTAGTGGAACTTTGGCGTATGCTTCGTTCAAAGCATCAACGACTGGACGAATTTTTAAAAACCTATCAGTGTCAGGGTGGCTCCTAGGAAGACATTTTGTGTTGTCATTGAAATGTAGATATTGTATAATCTTTTCAAATTTATTACAAGGCATGGTCTGTTGAATTAGATTTGTACCCAGAATGGAACCCCAATGGTTGGTCACCCTGGGTAGCTGAATCAGTGACATCAGATATACGACACCTATAAACTGTCGGACTTCGGTCTCAGATACACAAAAATTATTGTTCGGATCTTTCTGTACCAAATAGAGGTTTGTCTCTTCCGAAATTTTCCTTATAAGTTCTGGTGGAAATAGATAAGGAAAGAAGTGTATAGGAGTCTCCAGTTCCAATATATCAGAACGCAATGACACGTTGCCAGTGAAAGCCAGCTGCTGTGCATTCAGCTCCAGATTCTTTTTTTTTTCACAGTAATGTAGCTTACAGGCTTTCGCCGTTTAGCGGGAGGACCTGAAGTACCTGGAATGTCTGAACTAGACGTTATCGGATCTACTTCTACCTCATGGTTAAAGTTATAGTCGTCATCGTTTAAGTAGTCTACTAAATCATCCATAACAAATTGGACTCCCATAGACTCTTCATTCAACTCTCCTAAATCCGGGTCAAAGTCATGGTCAGCCAAACTATCGTCATCAAGGTCGAGACCATCTTCACATGCAGAATCATCTTGCAGTACACAGGCTATCTCTTTGTCTGTCAGCCGTCGTAGTCGGTGAGCCATCCTAAAACGAAATAACAACTTATATAAATGTTGGCAGTGTTCATACAAGACAATTCCCTTTTCCGCATAATTTAGCCTACAAGACGCAAACGCCAAATACCACCTAATACAAAAATACCTAGACTATATCAAAAAAACATAACAATATAGTAAACTTTGAGCACTTACCTTATAGATTTTCACAAAAACAAGCACCAATAAACGTAAAAACTAATTTGTATTATTTTTTATCTTTAATCACGTGTCGACAGTTTGCAATTTTTCACTTCACTAACAAAATCACGTCGTTTGAAACAAGTAACGGCATATACTTGGTTTTACTTCCATTTGATTGAAAGAACGGAGTGTAGGCTACATTCTACAATGCTTGACCAGACGTACAAATAATTACAAAAAGATTTTAGGAAGGTGAAACGGTTTGTTGCCTGTAGTCTACCATACGTTATAGAGGGTTAAAACTACCGACACGCCCATTTTTTTTACCTTCCTTTTATTAGCTCGGGATGTAACTATGTAATATTGATGCGTCTAAAAGATGCAGCGATTTCTATTCTCAAGTTACATACCTGATGACAGTACGAATGGTAATTATAATAGGGAGGTTTTAGTTTTTTAAACTATAATTTTATTCCAAATTAAAGTCATTGCTGTGGCACTTCCTTCTGCGAAAAAATCGAAGATGTGCGCAAGCTTTTATGAGCGGAGGTATTGATGTTGAACGAAGTGGCTCATCTGTTTATTAACCAATTATACTACAGCTTCTTTTGGAAGTCCTCAATATGCTTTGAAAATGAACACAAAAAGATAACAAAAGAAAGCATTAACTTTTGCTTGCAGTACACGCGGTAGCTCTAGAGGATTAGAATTATCCTTTAAGTGTCGCCTGATTGAGGCCGCCTTCATGCATTTCTCTTCCTCCTAAACAAATAATTGTGATGAATTTAGCTTTATTGCTGTCTTTTCTTTAAAACTCTTTATTTTAATAATTTAACTTTACTCGCATAGCTTGTTTACAGCCGCTTGCAACGGCCGCTTGCTGGTTGTTGAACTGTCAAATTTCGATTATCGATAACTCTACAGCAACTGACGATAGTTGCCATTCGTAATACAAATTTTCTTTCCAGTTGCGTTGTCAGCTGACAACCGAACCGTGGTTGTGTTGCTATCCGTAATCGACCCATTAATATATTTTTTACATTAAATGGATGTTTTTTTTTTTAACTATGCAAGCATGTATGTAGTATGCCAAATTAAAGAGAATTATTGAGCCACATTTTATATACTATCCTGTTTATAACACATGAGAGGTATATAGAGGCTACAAAAAATGCAAAATAGAGCTATGAGGCACACACTTAACGCACTATACGATACCAGCATTTCATCAATGCTGAACAATTTAAACTGGTTAAATGTGAAACAACTAATCTTTTTATAAGCTTTTATTTCATACAATGAAGTTTATTTATAATATGAAGAATGGAGCTCTTCACAAATACTTGAGTGATAAATTTAGGTACAGCAGTGACACTCAGAGTCAGGGACAACTTTAAACTTCCATAAAGGTTTAAAAAGGTTTAACGAACTGCCAATAGGTATGAGAAGCTGCAATAGCTTACAAAAATTCAAGTTTTTTATACGAGCATTACAAAAAAACACATATAAGACTGCCATTGGGCCGCCCCATTCTAACAAGAAACTAGCATATGAGAGACGTTACGATCATGGATCGGAAACTCGGCCTTTCCGACCATACCCAACAGCTCGTCCGCAGTGCGGAGCGGAAACTAGATCTTTCCGCCCGTTTCACAGCAACATAATTATGAAAATAACATGGATCGGAAACTCGGCCTTTCCGACCCGGGTAAAACCCCTTTACTGACGCAGAGCGGAAACTAGGCCTTTCCGCCCCTGGCCTCGCCAGCTACCCAACCCGAGTTTATAATGTACATATTAATTAATTAATAGTACAATAAATTAATGTTTATAAATGTATTAAGTATGTATTTGAAAATTAGTAAAAATTAGTAAAGAAAATATGAAAAATGTTAATATTTAACTTGTCCTAATCCAATGTATATACATGAATGAGTATACATATATTAATGCATAGTATTAGTAGAAAAGCAATCAATTAAATAAGTTGACAATGTAATTGACAAGATTTTTATAGGTCTTAAAGACTGTCAATAAATAAATAAATTAATTAATTAAAATTCCTATGAAATGAATGGAAATGTAATTTGAGTAATTTCGATTTTAACTTTGAACTTTAACAACTCCTGTAGTTATTTTCAGCATAAAAATTAAATTAATTAATTTGAGAATTTTAGGTATTCTGCATTTGTTCCATTGATATATCAACTTACATAATTAATATACATACATATGTATTGTTTTTTTTGCGGGGGAAGCCATGGGTTCAGGCTTGTTTTAGCTAATTTGCAACTGAACAGAAACTCGAGAATTCCCGAGACTTATTAAAAGGTCGATTAATAATATGTAAATATTTATTGATGTTTTATAATTAATTTTAACTGTGACAGTAAATACAATAAAAATATTTTCTTTTGCAAATAATATTTGTTTTATGCAAATAATATTAGTATAATTTTTAAGTATGGATGTATGCATATGATGTTTTATTTTTATTTTTTGATTAACTATGGGTATAATAGAATATAAGCAAACGCCTTAGCAAACCAACTATATCTGCCTTTTAATCCAGAAATTTAATGCTTTCAATAGCCATATCGTATTTACTTGCAAAATATTGCATACGATTTTGATTTCTACAGAATCGATTTGTTTTCAAGTTCTGAAGGGTAACACAAGTTATTTTTTGAATAAAATATACATATCTGACACTCCAGTTTTCCCTGATATGATTTGCAATTACCACCGCCGCTGTGGGCATTTGCCAAATAGTACAAAGCATGTTCGTACCATATGTTACAACACCGTATCCATCAGTCTTTCAATTGGTAGAAATTTAATGAAAAACATCCATAAAAGGAAAATTTGCTTGATCCGGATCAAGTAGATCTATTAAGAAGCATACAGTGCCAGCTACACCTTCATACAAGCTATGTGGCCGATCAGGAGTACGTGCACGATGCTTGAATTCAGAGTCAGTTAACAATTCCATATACTTGACGGCTCGATAGTAGTATTTTAGTTCATTTGTTAAGCGGTAAAGCAGCAAAAATACGTAACCGTTGCCAGCGACACCGTGACAAATGCCTGGACCTTTGCGTAAAAATCCCTTTTTCCATACCAAATCACTTGAACGTCGCAATGCTTGCAAATATTTATCCTCCTTAAAAATTATATATGCTTTAGCAAGTACATAAACTACACCTGGGGCCCCGTGACACCAATGCACCAATCGTTTTTCACGTCCACTTTTTAGATCCTCAAGTGCAACGGGAAAATTACCTTCAGAATCTTGAAGTGTTAGAAAGAAGTCTATTGAACGTTTAATATCACGTAATTCCGCGCTGGGAGCAGATATGGGATCTGTGCGAAACCATGGACTATCTAATAACATATGCAGAATAGCGCATAGGCCGTGCGCAGCACCTAAGTACTCTGTGCCATGATATTGATACATAAGAGGTAATGGCGCTTTAGTCTTTTTAGCATACTCTCTCCCGCTGTTAATTATCATTTGACAAATGGATGTTATATCGTCATCTGTAATTTTTTTCTCACAAAGTATATCATTTAACCAGTAACAACCGGATAAAAAACCTGCCCGACCTACCAAAACCTCATCGCAACCATATTTAGTATGCATAAATTCCTTACTGGAAGGGATTCCGGCTTTAAAGTTCTGCAAATCGTTGGACAACTCTTCCATATGTTTCAAATCATGAGAGATTGCAGCAGATACAGCATAAATTCCGGCATTTCCGCATAAAAATGAGTACCTTTCCGCTGAACGTTTTTTATATCGATCTGCATTACATTTCGCATTGCGTATAAATGTCTCTGCGTGCTCAAGTGCCGAATACAGTTCCCTGGCCTTTTCCGATCTTGACATTTTCCAAAACATGAAGGCTATTCCCGCGTTTCCAACATATAAGTCGCCCCTGTGGTCTTCATCTGCGTTACCTGGTTGACAACTCTCCAAAATTGCATCAACATAGGTGCAAATAAGATTCTTAACGTGTTCTTCGTCAAATTCTATTGATGTACTTTCCGCACTGACAAAGTCAGGGAATGGGTTTTCCAAATAACGTTTCTCCATTTTTGTCTATAGTCTATAACGAACAATTATAAGTCATAAATAGATCAATAAGCATTTGCAGACAGGTGCTACACCCAAAATATACATATTTATACATAAGCATATGTACATAAGCACATTTTGATGTATGTAAATACTTATCTATGTTAAAATATATTATAACGGCAATAATTTACCCTTTGAAAAATGTATCTTTCTTAATTGTATAGTTGTGTTCCAAAAATATGCAGAAGTTTACTAAATATATCTTCTATTTTATATATTTAATTGCCAAATGGTGACCGGCCGGCTCCTCTCGTTTGCCGCACAATAGTTGTGTTTGTTTACTCATGTGCAGTAAAATTCAGTAAAAGATTTAAGCTGAAATTAGTCAAGAACGTAAACCTACCGGTACGTAAACCCGAGTCAGCTGACACGATCTGTCTAACCAAAGCGCCATGTAAATTAAAACTCAACACCGCAGAATTTTTCTGTGATTTCTCCTTCTTTAGATGGTTGCCACTTCGTCAGTTTTACAGATGGTAAAAAAGATATAAGTTCCTATTCAAAATATGTTCAAAATATTTGAAATTTACTATTGAATAAGGTTTTTGTTGAAAACTAAGTAGTTTATATTTAGCTAAAATCTATTATAGCACGAAAAATTGTAGTTGAAAGGGTAAGACTGCTTTTACACAGTTCAAGTATTGAATTCAATTCTGCTCGCATGTGGAAGAGAGGGGGTGAGAAGAAAAGGGACGAGTACACATGCGTCGGTACCGTCAAGTCGTTTCAACTTTCGTGCTTTGCTTTTGGCATTTTCGTTGCTTCCCATTTAAAGAACCAAAGACTTGAATTCAACAGAATTGAAACGTGTAAAAGCAAATAAAAAACACAAAAGATAATGAGCAAGAATTGCTTTCAAGTACTTGAATCATGTAAATCAGGTGTAAGTTTATGAAAAGGCATTGATGAGTGGCAACAGTGTAGTAAGCAACACTGAGGGCTACAGTAATCGACCAAATCTGCGTATACAGATATAGATTTTAGCTAAATGTAAACTACTTAGTTTTCAACATTTACATGGCGCTTTGGTAAGACAGATCGTGTCAGTTGACTCGGATTTACGTACCGGCAGGTTTACGTTCTTGACTAATTTCAGCTTTAAGATTTGAAATTTACTATTGAATAAGGTTTTTGTTGAAAAGTAAGTAGTTTATATTTAGCTACAATCTATTATAGCACGAAAAGTTGTAGTTAAAAGGTAAGTTTATGAAAAGGCATTGAAGAGTGTAGTAAGCAACACTGAGGGCTCCAGTAATCGACAAAATTCTGCGTATACAGACTGCGATTAAGGATACGTTCTGCGTTCTCGACTAATTTCAGCTTTACGAATTTTCCAAGGCGCATCAATTACAGGTGATATCAGTGTTGCCAACTTTACAGTTTCAAAAAGTACCAAATCTTGGAAAAAAGAGCGTTTTACCGCACTAAAAGCACTAATTTTTTTTTTTAATCAAAGGATACTCTTTTTCATAACAGTTTGTGGTAAACAAAAGTAAAAAATATACAATATTTACATGTATAAATAAATACACATTCATGCTTGCCAAGTAATACCGAAGTACTGCACATTAAAACTGGTACATCTGGAGAAGGAACAATCGAAACGCAACAAACGAAATTGAATTTTAAAGGGGAAGAGTAATACTTAATGATACCCTAAGTAGAAATGAGCGAAAAAATTTGTTGTTTTATAATATAACCTCAAATATTGCGAAAACCCGTGTTTTTACACTTAGAGAGTAGGATATCTCAAAATTCTGACATGGTATAGAAATTCTGCAGCTAGATTGGTATTCAGCACCGAAGAATCTACAAAACCCGGGACACTCGGTGGCAAAAAAGGTTAAAATTTTTCGAACTGTGTAATCAATCAATAATCAAGAAAATAAAAAAATAAATACTTAACTTATCTGCGTGCTAGCATTTTCAACGCGCGTACAATTAAACAAGAACGCAAGAACGTGGGTTTGCAACTTCATCTTTTTATCAATCATGGTTTGCATTTTAGTGCATTTAAATTTTTAGATTCTTGTAAATTCAGAAATTTTAGTTCAGAAAAAAGCACTAAAAAGGGCACTAGGCACTAAACCATTTTTTTGGCGTTTTAATTTTCAAAAAGCGCTAAATCTAGTGCTTAAAGCACTAAGTTGGCAACTATGGGTTATATTGATAGAAGCTATGCATGAACCAAAAATACAAGATCACGTAAGAACGCGACGTTGTATTTGTAACTGGTTTTGAGAAAAAAGTTTGCGAAAGCGGGTTCGTCAGCTGAGCGTTTGTTTACATCACAAGCACCACTATTTTAGACTTTTATTCAAGTAAAGAAGAGTTAATTCAACATGACAACATATTTTAAAGCATTTTGTTGCATAATTTTACCTAAATTGTGCGTTTAAAGTGGCTGACAATAATTTTGGCTAATTTTGGTTTTCGTTGTTTTCTTTGCTTTGTTTACTTTTCGCTCGTTTTCCAGTGAAACAAGATGGCGTAGAACCCGCTAAAAAAATCGACTTTTTTCACTCTCTTGTTCTTACGTGATCTTGTGTCTTTCGTTCATGGAAGCTATGCTTCTTCTTATGAGCACGCTTGTGTCAAATTATCGTCGTCGTTTTGCTTTGTTTACATATTCGCGTATACATACACATATACGTAAATATATACCCTGCAAACAAATGCTACCGAAATCTTTAAGAGTATCGGAAATTTGTTACGATTCTTTTAGGAATCTTTAAAGAAAAACATATGAAGCGGTTGACAAGAACTAGTAAAGAAGTTTCTGTACGATTTCTTAGAGAAAATTCTTAAAAAAAATTGTGAAACCTTTCAGAGTTCTATGAAATCCTGGTATGCAGGGTATACATATACATACGAATATGAATACATAAAGAAGATGTTGATGACACAAGGAGTTCATACCAACGGTAAATGTTGTTTTTGTACGATTGCTACAACCTGTAGTTATTGAATCATGGGAATTTTCATGACTTGGCGTTTTCAGTGTTCGCTTTGCATGGTGAAATGAACTGAAGGTGGCGCATTCCCGAAACCGCTACTTTGGTTTTGCCCATGAACGAAAGACACAAGATCACGCCTTCCCGAAAGAAAGAAAAAAGTTATTTTCTAGCTGTTGAAATCTCGACGCCATCTTTGTTGTAAGAAGTAAACAACGAAGAGAACAAAAAAAAAAAACCGCGTAATTGTTGAACGCATGAATAATCATTTTTATTATGCAAATTCTTCTATAAATCATGTCGTTGTGTTAAATTATTCTTTACCTTATGTGTGCACACGTTGTCACAAGCGAAAATTAAGAAAATTGCAGTAAAAAGCCACCACCAAATTGTAAACAACTAACAAATGTAAACAAACGGCTAATGTCAAAGTCTCCCAACTTTTTTCCTAAATGCGATTATAACGGGCTACTAAGAAGGCGTGATCTTATATTTTTGGTTCATGGGTTTTGCCGACTTTGACATTTATGGCAATACGTAAACAAACTTTTTGTTTAGAAACAAGTGCAAACGTATTGCAAACGTATTAGGGGTATTCTCGAAGTCTTGCACGATGCACGGATTGCACGAAATGCAAAAATACTATTCCAAATTTCGAAGAGTACGAGAACACCCCATTGCAAAGTGGTAGCATGCATGGGGAGCAAGCAGCGAAATTATGTATCAAATACAATAACAAGAGACAGCAAAAAAAAATTAAGTGAGCGAGATGAGAGGAATGAGAGAAATATGTAGCAATTCCAACAACAAAACAACTAGCACAGGGTCGCTATTATCTTGCTATGCTATTTTGCAAAATATATAGTTACATGGGTTTCGACGTTGCATATTTTGCAGCGATAGGAAATGTTGTTTCCCATGAATTTTCTTGTTGTGTGTTTGCAATTTATGCAATCCGTGCAATCCGTGCTACGTGCAATGGCTTTGCAAGATTTGGAGAATACCCCTATTGTGTACTTTCAAGTGAAAAATCGAAGTAATTCGTGCGTTCTGAAGTAAAAAACGTTTTATTTGTAATAAAAACTTTATAAAAATGTCGTGTCCTGTGTTGAATTGCAGCAGCCGTAGGGGTAAAGTCCCCAAATGCAGTTTTTTTTTTGTTTCGCCGCGACGACGCCTTGGCCAGAAAGTGGGTAGAGTTCTGCCGGCAGGAGAAGCCATACAATTTAGACACCAGCGTAATATTCATGAAGCACTTTACGGACCACTTTTAAACACGACATGTTAAGTTGAAAACGTTGAAATACCATAAATTACAAATTAAAGTCGGAGGTAAGCAAGCATCGACCACTTTCTGCAGGAAAACATGCGCTGCGACAAGATATTATCACTTTTTCGGCACCTGCAATACAAACACAAAAATTCTAAATAGTTAATTAATAAGACCTATTCTTTTGAACACATTTCAAGAGTGGTTGTATATTTTTTGTTAACGTTGTGCTTAATTTGCTATATTCAAAGATGGCTTGAGAAATTGGTGAATCGAGAAGAAAACACGTTTTCTCACTCCAAATTCACAACTGTCAACTCATTGTTCTTCGCCATATTCTTTGTTTACCCGTTGCCACAAATGTCATTCTGCGGGAATGCGCAATCTTGTATTATATCGTTCTTGTTCGCTTTGCACAAAATTTGTACAAGTTGGTACCAATTGTTACCAAATCGTGTTCGTTTAGCCAAAATACCAGTAACTAACAATGGTTGAGCAATGAAAATATCAGAGTTGGGTTGTCTTTGGGTGGTCTCGGTAGATATAGCTATAGCTTTGGCCCGTAGTCATAGTCAAAATAAAGTCGACTTTAAAGTTAGTTGCAGCTTTTTGACATAATTTTCAATGGGATATCTGCCAAAAAAGCTGCAACTAACTTTAAAGTCGACTTTATTTTGACTATGACTACGGGCCTTTGTGTACAATAAGTACAGACCCATGATACAAAAAAGAAGGTAGTTTCAATAAACAACTTTTTGATTAAAAAGGAGATTTTTGACAATTGCTCAATTGTAAAAAATTCGAAGCGGCGTTACCCAATTTAAGTTTTTTAGTGGAGGGGATTTTATATCCTAAATTTGGGAATATAAACAAAATTGTTGTATTAACACTTATCTCTTAAAAATAATTAACATTTTATCTTAAACACGTTCTAGTTTTACATTAAATTCGATAACTACTTGCCAAAATCTTTATTTTTACATTCATAAAATTGGGGTGAACATATTTTAACAATTTTTTAGTGTCATTATGTCATCTGATTATTACACAATATAGCTAGCCAGGACTATTACAGTTTACAAT